ACTACTAGACCAGTCCAGAGTAGTGCACAGAAACTACTAGACCAGTCCAGAGTAGTGAGCAGTAACTAACTAGAACCAGTCCAGGTAGTGCACAGTAACTACTAGACCAGTCCAGAGTAGTGCACAGTAACTACTAGACCAGTCCAGGGTAGTGCACAGTAACTACTAGACCAGTCCAGAGTAGTGCACAGTAACTACTAGACCAGTCCAGAGTAGTGCACAGTAAATACTAGACCAGTCCAGAGTAGTGCACAGCAACTACTAGACCAGTCCAGAGTAGTGCACAGTAACTACTAGACAGTCCAGAGTAGTGCACAGCAACTACTAGACCAGTCCAGAGTAGTGCACAGTAACTACTAGACCAGTCCAGAGTAGTGTACAGTAACTACTAGACCAGTCCAAGGTAGTGCAGAGTAACTACTAGACCAGTCCAGAGTAGTGCACAGTAACTACTAGACAAGTCCAGAGTAGTGCACAGTAACTACTAGACCAGTCCAGGGTAGTGCACAGTAACTACTAGACCAGTCCAGAGTAGTGCACAGTAACTACTAGACTAGTCCAGGGTAGAGCCCAGTAACTAATAGACCGGTCCAGGGTAGTGTACGGTAACTACTAGACCAATCAAGAGTAGTGCACAGTAACTACTAGACCAGTCCATAGTAGTGCACAGTAACTACTAAACCAGTGCATGGTAGTGCACAGTAACTACTAGACCAGTCCAGAGTAGTGCACAGTAACTACTAGACCAATCCAGGGTAGTGCACAGTAACTACTACACCAGTCCAGGGTAGTGCGCAGTAACTACTAGACCAGTCAAGGGTTGTGCACAGTAACTACTAGACCAGTCCAGACTAGTGCACAGTAACTTCTAGACCAGTCTAGGGTAGTGCACAGTAACTACTAGACTAGTCCAGAGTAGTGCGCAGTAACTACTAGACCAGTCCAGAGAAGTGCACAGTAACTATTAGACCAGTGCAGGGTAGTGCACAGTAACTACTAGACCAGTCCAGAGTAGTGCACAGTAATTACTAGACCAGTCCAGGGTAGTGCACAGTAACTACTAGACCAGTCCAGAGTAGTGCACAGTAACTACTAGACCAGTCCAGAGTAGTGCACAGCAACTACTAGACCAGTCCAGAGTAGTGCACAGTAACTACTAGACCAGTCCAGAGTAGTGTACAGTAACTACTAGACCAGTTCAGGGTAGTGCACAGTAACTACTAGACCAGTCCAGAGTAGTGCACAGCAACTACTAGACCAGTCCAGAGTAGTGCACAGCAACTACTAGATGCCAGCCAGAGTAGTGCACAGTAACTACCAGACCAGTCCAGAGTAGTGTACAGTAACTACTAGACCAGTCCAGGGTAGTGCACAGTAACTACTAGACCAGTCCAGAGTAGTGTACAGTAACTACTAGACCAGTCCAAGGTAGTGCACAGTAACTACTAGACCAGTCCAGAGTAGTGCACAGTAACTACTAGACCTGTCCAGAGTATGCACAGCAACTAACTAACCAGTCCAGAGTATGCACAGTAACTACTAGACAGTCCAGAAGTAGTGCACAGTAAATACTAGACCAGTCCAGAGTATGCACAGCAAAAAGACCAGTCCAGAGGGGAGTGCCAGTAAAAACTACTAGACAAATCCAGAGTAGTGTACAGTAAAATACTAAAACAGTCCAAAAGGGAGTGCAGAGAACTACTAGGGGGGCCAGTCCCGAGTAGTGCAAGTAACTACTAGACAAAATCCAGAGTGTGCACATAACTATATGACCATCCCCGGGTAGTGCAACAGTAAAATATAGACCTCCAATAGTGCACATAACTACTAACTAGTCCAGGGTAACCCCGTAACAATAGACCGGTCCAGGGGATGTACGGGAACTACTAACCCAAACAAATAGTGCCCCAGAACTACTAACCCCGTCCAAGTAGTGCACAGTACACAAACCAGTTGGTAGGCCAGTAACTACTAACCAGTCCAGAGTAGTGCACTAACTACTAACCAATCCCGGGGAGTGCACAGTAAAACTAACCAGTCCGGTAGGCCAGTAAATATAGACCGCAAGGGTTTTGCACTAAAATCAGACCATCCAGGAGGACAGTAACTACTAAAAACCATCCAGACAATCACGTAACTTTCTAGACCCGTCAGGGTATCACATAACTACAGACTATCCAATATGCGCAGTAACACAACCATCCAAGAAGTGCACAGTAACTATTAACCATGAGGGGATGCACGTAACTACTAACCATCCCCGATGTGCCCAGAAAAATTTCAGACCCGTCCGGTATGCACGTAACTCTAGACCAGTCCCAAATAGTGCACATAAAATACTAGACCGTCCAATTGCACAGCAACTACTAACCAGTCCAAGTAGTGCACAGTAACTACTAACCAGTCCAGAGTAGTGTACAGTAACTACTAGACCATTCGGGTATGCACAGTAACACAGACCATCCAGAGAGTGCACGCAACTACAACCACCAAGTAGTGCACAGAAACTACTAGACCAGGCCAAGTATCACAGAAACTACCAGCCAGCCAGAGATGTACGAAACTACTAGACCAGTCCGGTAGTGCACATAACACTAGACCAGTCCAGAGTAGTGTACAGTAACTACTAACCATCCAAGGTAGTGCACAGTAACTACTAGACCAGTCCAAGTAGTGAAACATAACTACTAGACCAGTCCAGAGTAGTGCACAGCAACTACTAGACCATCAGAGTAGTGAAACAGTAACTACTAGACCAGTCCAGAGTAGTGCACAGTAACTACTAGACCAGTCCAGAGTAGTGTACAGTAACTACTAGACCAGTCCAGAGTAGTGCACAGTAACTACTAGACCAGTCCAGAGTAGTGCACAGCAACTACTAGACCAGTCCAGAGTAGTGCACAGTAACTACTAGACCAGTCCAAAGTAGTGCACAGTAACTACTAGACCAGTCCAGAGTAGTGTACAGTAACTACTAGACCAGTCCAAGGTAGTGCACAGTAACTACTAGACCAGTCCAGAGTAGTGCACAGTAACTACTAGACCAGTCTAGAGTAGTGCACAGCAACTACTAGACCAGTCCAGAGTAGTGCACAGTAACTACTAGACTTGTCCAGAATAGTGCACAGTAGCTACTAGACCAGCCTAGAGTGGTGCACAGTAACTACTAGACCAGTCCAGAGTAGTGTACAGTAACTACTAGACCAGTCCAGAGTAGCGCACAGTAACTACTAGACCAGTCCAGAGTAGTGCACAGTAACTACTAGACCAGTCCAGAGTAGTGCACAGTAACTACTAGACTTGTCCAGAGTATTGCACAGTAAGTAGTAACTAAATCTGGGGAGGTACACAGCAACTCGGGAAAAAACGAGAGAGAGAGAGAGAGAAAGAGAGAGAGAGAGAGAGAGAGAGAGAGAGAGAGAGAGAGAGAGAGAGAGAGAGAGAGAGAGAGAGAGTGAGAAGAGAGGAGAGAGAGGGAGAGAGAGAGAGAGAGAGAGAGAGAGAGAGAGAGAGAGAGAGAGAGAGAACGCCCTACATGATGGACAGAATACAAGAATGTGGCAACGAGGAATCTAGGTAATACCTGCATGTAGCGACGCTACAATAATTATACATAAACAAAAAGAAAACTAGATTCTTGATCATTCTTGTAGCTGGTCATGTTGAGCAGATGACTGCAAGGTAACGGGGGTCACAATACTCCATTAACACTGGGGTACAGGATGGGATACAGGATGGGATACTGGAGGGGATACAGGATGGGATACAGGATGGGATACAGGATGGGATACAGGATGGGGTACAAGATATGGGTCACACGGGATAAGTTTCTTTCTCTCGCAGTGTCTAAAGAGCAACGTCTCTCAGTCAACAAAAAATGTTGATGTTTGCAAGAAATTAATCAGATGTTTGCAACATATCTTGACCGCACATATAATTTTTTAAGACATTGTATGTAAATTCACAATATTATTATTATTATTATTAATATTATTTAACACTTAAAAAGCTCAATGTACATGAGTGTCACACCTGAATATGCGAAAGATTCCGGGAAAAGTATAAACATTCTGGCATGTAAACTGTTAGTCAGCTTCACCTCAGGTGGAAGCTGAAGTCTACTGTCTCCAGGAAAGTGTTGACAACCTTCTTCTAACATTATCATCATTTTCTTACATTTCCACTTTACTGACAATTATTTAAAATCTAAATGTGAATATATATATACATATATATATATATATATATATATATATATATATATATATATATATATATATATATATATATATATATATATATATTATATATATATATATATATATATATATATATATATATATATATTATATATATATATATATATATATATATATATATATATATAATATATATTTATATATATATAATATTTATATATATACATATGTCGTGCCGAATAGGCATAACTTGCGATCTTGGCTTAAATAGCAACTCTCATGTTGCCATATAGGACAAGCGAAAATTTGTTTATGCAATAATTTCGCCAAAAACATTCTGAACCTAACGAAAAAGATATACTTCACTGTGTTTGTTTAGTATTACATTATCGTAAACAAATCTAAAATATATTTAGTTGGGTTAGACTAAAATAAATTGCTCTTGTTATAATAAGGTTAGGTAAGTTTTCTAAGATTCTTTTGGTGCAAAATAATTTTTTTTACATTAACTTTAATGAAAAATATATATCTTTAAACTTATAAGAGAAAATTTTAGAAAGGACTTAATTTTAAATGAGTTCTTGCTAATTGACCAGTTTTACATATTCGGCACGACATATATATATATATATATATATATATATATATATATATATATATATATATAATATATATATATATATATATATATATATATATATATACATATATATATATATATATATAAATTACATCAGACACCGGACGTCTCCCACCGAGGTAGGGTGGCCCAGAAGAGAAAGTACATACACCATCATTCATTCAATATCGGTCTTGCACGAACATTAAATTTGTTATAACTTGTTAACATAGTTCCTGCAGCAGTAGACTCACTGGAAAGTGTGTGAAAACACCCACATACACCATACATTACACGTCAGTCATTGATCTAGAAGAGAATAACACGCAAATAATATGTACAGTTCACCCACAGGTGGGCAGCATGCCCAGCTGTCTGTTCAACTGCGTGCCCAGCTTGTGTGAGCGGCCGTTTGCCCAGCTGTGGGCTGTGGTCCTCCGTCCTGTCTCCATACTGTGACCCTTGCTGTGTCCTCGTCGACACCTGTACACACCTGCACACACCCTCCAGCAGCCTCCTGAAGAGTCAGTAGCACCAGCACTACTCCAGTCACCTGTATTGTCTCCAGCTTCCATACAGAGAATCATCCATACGTCTGGCTGGCTGGCCCACAAGATTTCTTCAGCCATTGTTTTGTTTTTTTCTGATATTTTTGCCAGCTCTCTCCTTAGTCTAGAACATCTTTATTTTACGCAGGAGAATCTGGGTGAGTGACTGTTGACTATCATACCCACGTCTGCCACGTCTCCAGTGACAGCTGCCAATCACAGTGACGTTTACCACGTCACTAGTGACAGGTCCGATCATAGTCGCGTCACCAGTGACAGCTGTCAGTCATAACTATGCCACCGGTGACAGCTGCTGATCATAACCATGTCACCAGTGACAGCTGACAAACATAACCACGTCACCAGTGACAGCTGCCAGTCACCAGAGTGGCACATTCCTCGTCACTCACTGAGAACCAGCAGCTGCTGACCCATCACTCCTGAGTGGCCTCGACTCCGACTGTCCAATGGTTACTAACGTTGGCCAAAGTGGGTGGTGTTGGTGCTGGAGTGGGTGGTGATACTGCTGGAGTGGGTGGTTCTGAGAGGAGTCGTCGAGGGTGATTGGAGGTAGTTAGAAGAGCTGGGAGATGAGGTTACTCTTGGTAGGGTCTGGCAGCATGTAGTTGTTGACAGTGTGGTTGAGCAGGGAAAACGGGGGCGGTGGGTGGCCCTGCTGCATGCCGCCCATGCTGCCGTGCACGCCCACGTTGCCACCGTGGTGGACAGAGTGGGCGGAGTGGGCGGTGAGGGTTGTGAGGGGGACGGGTGAGGGGCACGAGGAGGGGCGCTCCAGGGCGGTGAGGGGGGAGCTACAACCCCCTGCGCCCCCAGCACCACTGCCTCCACCAGGTGCTGACGCCGCGGGGGCGGCAGATGACCATTTGGGAGACGTCTCCAGCTTGCCCACTGTGGGAGAGTAAGAGAGACAGTCAGGCAGGTAGACAGGAGGCTAAACAAGAACAAAAACAACAAAAACAATGATAACAATAATAATAATAATAATAATAATAATAATAATAATAATAATAATAATAATAATAATATTTCCAACAACAATGATGATATGTGGACACGTATAACAGATCGTCTAAACGCTACCATAATCACTGTCACTGCCCAACTTTCCTTGTAATCAGCATATCCAAATCACCAACTGATACCCAAAATATGTTTTTGAGACTCCACGATTGAGATTTCGGCGAATAATTTTATCGTGTCAATTAGTACCAATGATTGCAGAGAGAATACAATATTGATCAAGATATTTACTCATCTGTCCAAGTTTCCTTAAAAAAAATCATTGCCTCTGTAACATTGTCCCTTAAAATTCAAAAAGGTCAAAATCAAGAGACCAGGTATCCCGTGGCTGACCAACAACATCCTCAGAATTACTGACATGAAAAATAGCTGTAAGAATCAATGCAGAACGAGCTTAATTCCCAAACATTAGCAAAAAAAAAAAATGACTTCAACACTTTCCATATTTATAAGGACATCTAAACTGCCGCTTTGTGTCTGCACGGTCCCAGAAATAAAGGGTGATAGTAACAATACCTGGAAAACATTCAAATACTGGGCTAACGTAAAATTTCTAAGCTGAAAGAATTTGCACTAAACAGACCCTCATACGAATAAGCTTCATGACTTTCTTTGCCGGCAAAATTGCAGGCTTCATTGCTCAGGTTATTGATTACAGTTACCAAGGCTCCCTCTACCTGTACCCAACAAATTTTACGAAAGTAACTTCAGTATTACATGCACTATTAAGCAAAGCAGTATGCTCCCATTCATATAAGAAAGCTGCCCATGTGCTATCACCTATCATTGCAATTCTCTTTATTAAATCCCCAGAAGCCAAAACCCTCACTAATATACTTAAGCTTACACATGTTATCCCAGTCCACAAAGGTGGAGACCCAGCTAAGGCCAACAACAGACCAATCTTTAGCTGGTCATCATTAACTAAAAACCTTGAAAAGATAACATATAAATGAGTATGTGCATTTCTTAAAAAACAAAACATTTTTATCCATTGCTGGTTTGGCTTCAGGCCAAAGAAAAGGTACCAGTGATGCTTCCATAAAGATGCTAGATCCTCTTTATTAGTCTCTAGTAAACAGTGAATATCCACTGGGATTTTTTATTGGTCTAAGGAAACTTTATACACTGCAGCCCACAACATCTTGCTGCTAAACTAGAGCATTATGGAATCGTAGGTTATGCTCTCGCTTACATAAAGTCCTACTTTATAGGCAGACTTCAGCGTGTGACAGTAAATAAAACTACCTCATCAACTCAAACTATCAACAAAGGTGTGCTACAGGGTTAGGTCCCTGTCCCACTATTATTCCACATCTATATCAAGACCTACCCAATGTTTCCAAGTACCATAAAATAGTTCTGTTTGCAGATGACACAGCATTTCTCATATGTAATACAGGTGCTGTTGTCGTCAACAACACAGTGGAACTCGTAAGGACTTCTACCTGGATGGCATCCAACAAACTTACTCTCAATATTGACAAGCCTTCCTACATGATGTCTAAGAATAAAACTAAAAATACTTATATTCACCTAAAAATAAATTACTCTACACATAGAAAGACGAAACAAAGGAAAATTCTTTGGTGCACCCTGACCGCAATCTGAAATTCGATACTCACATCTAAAACATATCTGAGAAATTTTCCAAAACATTAGGCATTCTATCAAAAATAAGCTATGTTCCTAAACCAACATTACTCACTTTACATTACTAACCGGTCTATCTCTACTTCACCTAGGTGTCTGTGCTCGGGAGTCCATAACAGCAAATCATCTAAAACCCATTGTTACCAAAGAAAAATCAGCTGTCAGAATAGTCACCCATTCAGGTTCCAGACAACACACACACACGCGTCTCCAACTACGCAAGTCTCAATTCGCTCAACACACGACACATCCAAAATTACTACTGTGCCTTTCATATATAAAGGAGACTTAGAATGAATTTGAACAGTGTTCCGACTCTTCCTGCAGACCTGCAGCAGAACACAGACACCATACAGGACATAAATATCTCTCAGACATACCCCGGCACGACTCTACCTATCTATGAACTCCATACAAATAAATGGCTCTTAAATTTGTCACTTCCATCCAGAAGATGCACACATACAAAAAAGTTCCCCTTCAGCCACCTTCAAAAATATAATTGAAAAAAGCCCCCTCCAAAAACTGACCTTACTTAGAATAATTATTTTCGAGCCAAATTTACCCTTATCATTCCTGATGATCCATCACATTATCACTCACACTGATGTTCTCACTATCATCCATATATCACATAATCACTCACACTGATGTTCTCACTATCATCCATATATCACATTATCACTCACACTAATGTTCTCACTATCATCCATATATCACATAATCACTCACACTGATGTTCTCACTATCATCCATATATCACATTATCACTCACACTGATGTTCTCACTATCATCCATATATCACATAATCACTCACACTGATGTTCTCACTATCATCCATATATCACATTATCACTCACACTGATGTTCTCACTATCATCCATATATCACATTATCACTCACACTGATGTTCTCACTATCATCCATATATCACATAATCACTCACACTGATGTCTCACTATCATCCATATATCGCATTATCACTCACACTGATGTTCTCACTATCATCCATATATCACATAATCACTCACACTGATGTTCTCACTATCATCCATATATCACATTATCACTCACACTGATGTTCTCACTATCATCCATATATCACATTATCACTCACACTGATGTTCTCACATATCATCCATATATCACATAATCACTCACACTGATGTTCTCACTATCATCCAATATATCACATTATCACTCACACTAATGTTCTCACTATCATCCATATATCACATAATCACTCACACTGATGTTCTCACTATCATCCATATATCACATTATCACTCACACTAGATGTTCTCACTATCATCCATATATCACATAATCACTCACACTGATGTTCTCACTATCATCCATATATCACATTATCACTCACACTGATGTTCTCACTATCATCCATATATCACATATCACTACACACTGATGTTCCACTATCATCCATATATCACATTATCACTCACACTAATGTTCTCACTATCATCCATATATCACATTATCACTCACACTGATGTTCTCACTATCATCCATATATCACATAATCACTCACACTGATGTTCTCACTATCATCCATATATCACATTATCACTCACACTAATGTTCTCACTATCATCCATATATCACATTATCACTCACACTGATGTTCTCACTATCATCCATATATCACATAATCACTCACACTGATGTTCTCACTATCATCCATATATCACATTATCACTCACACTAATGTTCTCACTATCATCCATATATCACATTATCACTCACACTGATGTTCTCACTATCATCCATAATATCACATAATCACTCACACTGATGTTCCACTATCATCCAATATCACATTATCACTCACACTATGATGTTCTCACTATCATCCATATATCACATAATCACTCACACTGATGTTCTCACTATCATCCATATATCACATTATCACTCACACTAATGTTCTCACTATCATCCATATATCACATTATCACTCACACTGATGTTCTCACAATTATCCAAATATTTCATCATTCGTTCGTAATAACGGAGAATATATCCGACACTCACCTCTCATATAAGGCTTCTCTATACAAAACAATTTTTCATCAATGTGATTGAAAAGGCGCATTGATAATTGAATAACACGCTCTATGAAGGACTTTCAACCTGCTACTCAGTCCAGGACTCACCTTTTTTTTGTCACTCTCATCCATCAGAAGTTTTACTTATATATAGGAAGTTCACACTGAGTGTTTCAGTGGTCACCAGTGCAAATGTTACACCAGGTTATTTAAAAAAAAATCATAAATTGTTGTCAGTCACAATCTCAGTTGTTATATACTATGTTAAAGGTTGTGGACTATAGTATTCCAGTAAACTAAGCTAATTAAATAACTCTTCAATTGTTATACGTCATTTCATTAAGCTACAGCAAACGATGTGAATAACAAGAGGATTTCCAGTTGATAGTTTATACTCATCTATCCTATGTCAACTGTACTTTATACTGTACTTTATACTGTACTAAATTTATACTGTACTTTATACTGTACTTTATACTGTACTTTATACTGTACTTTATACTGTGCTTTATACTGTACTTTATACTGTACTTTAATGAATTAAAATTTTTACAATAATAATAATAATAATAATATTAATAATAATAATAATAATAATAATAAGAGGGTAAAAATTATTTAAAATTTAACACATTTAACTTGACTTAGAGTATTATTATTATTAACAGTTTATTATAATTATTATTATTATTATTATTATTATTATTATTATTACTATTTTTGTTATTATTATTATTATTATTATTATTGTTGTTGTTGATGTTGTTGTTGTTGTTTTTGTTGTTTTGTTGTTGTTTTTGATTGTTGTTGTTAGTTGTGTTGTTGTTTTGTTAGTTATTGTTGTTGTTGTTATTGTTGTTGTTGTAGCTGGCTGCTGCTGCTGCAGCTGCTGCTGCTGCTGCTGCTGCTGCTGCTGTTATTACCGTAATTATTATTATTATTATTATATTGTTATTTATTATATTATTAATATTATTATAAAGAGGGAGAAGCGATAAATCACTAAGGGCCATACAACGCTTAAGAAATGCGGCTAATCAAGTTCGATCCGAAGAGCGGAAGGACAAATCCAGCTCACTGGATGATAAGGCCATCACCTTCAGCGAGGATCCACCCACAGGTGTGGCTAGCAGGTAATTACAACACCT